CCTGGGCACCTCACATTGGAAACATGCATCTCAAGTACGTCAACTGATTTAAGGGGGTCTATCCTTTTATAGCCTTGTTTGGGAATCTTTATGATCTTGAAGAACCTTGGGGATTTTTTAATGTGCCTAACTAAGCAAATTTCTGTGGGCTGTAACAATGGAAACTTGATTGCCCGTTGTATAAGAACAAATTGATTTACCTATACAAACTGATTCTGTTCTCCAGTTAGTTTAGCCTTTTTGAACTTAAAAATCAGACGAAACTAGTGCTTTTGGCTAAACACTACTGAATGCTCCTTGTATGCAGCAGAGAACTAGCTGATTACATGATTTCAACCTTTTAGGGTGGTAAATACATGTATAATTGTTTACATACTTAAAAGGAAAAGCTGAGTAAATTTCATGTCGTATAGTGGCTCTACTTTATGTAGCCTGTATTAATGTGAAATATTTACCTGAATATTCAATAAAAGGCGAACAGTATTTATAGGTTGTGTGTGAGAATTTTGGAAGAGGCTGTATGTTGTTGTCATCGGTAGCTGCTGCCGTGCCCAGTGATGCATCTTTTCAGGGTCATGTAATTAGCATGTGGATGCAGTCAGGGTTTGGGGGAGGGTTTTGATCCGCAGTCGTCTGTGATACGAGGTCTGCTGAGTCCTTCCCCCTGCCAGTTGTTAGCCTTTTATTTTTTTTGTGTGAACATGGTTGTGCATTTTTTTTTTTTTTCTCCTTCTGGATTAGTTCTGCTGCTTCTAGCACTCTCTTTCCAGGTGGGTTGCCTGAGCGATCGGGTTTTGTTCCGGGGCTGGAAATAAGGGCTGAGTTGACAATGTGGCAACTGATGGCATCTTAATTTGCAGAAGTTAAATAGGTAGCTCGTAGGTAAATGCAGAGTTTCTTCACCTGACTCGCTGTGACCAGCTGCCTGGAAACAGATCTTAGGAAAGCAGAGACCACTTCCCACTAGAGAAAAACACAATGTATTCAATTCTAAGCTTCTTGTAACCCTTTAAATCTGGTAAGAGCTCCTCAAGTCCTTCCCGTGAGGAAGAAGGGGATTTTTGCATGCTGCTTAAGATGAACGTTCATTCTCTACCCAGGTGCAGAAGTTCTCCACTTTCTGCACTTGGACTATGCTTATTTCTGCTTTTGCTCAGCGGCGATGCAGTAACTACACTGAATGTTTGGTCCATTCCTCAAGCAGGTAACTACAGTGCACGTAGTGTCCAATCTAATGGACCGCTTTTGGTGGTCTCTCAGACCAGATGGAGACTTCTCCACCTTCTCCAGGCAAATCCTTACATGCAGCAGCAGAGTTTCCCCAGGAAAAGCATGAGGAAGGAGTACCGAAAACTCAAAGTGCACAAGCAATATTTGAGTACCGCAGGCAGATAAACCTCAGAAATGCTACTGGACAGTATTTCTCCTAGTATTTGAGGAAGAAATGCAAAAAACATTGAACTGCCGCTGCCCCCCTGATAGTGCAAACACCAAAGGAGAAACACTTGTGTTAATGATAATTGTATTGAAAACACATGGTGGTGGTGTGCAATAGGTGTTTGCTCTTGGGTGAGTTGCAAGGGAGGGGCCCGTGTGGGCTCCATGGCTGCAACGGGCACTGCCACCTCCTCCTGCCCCATCCCAGGGAGCCACCAGCTCCCCATCCCAGAGGGCTACAGCTCCACGCCGGGTGGCACCGTCTATTCCACCACGCCAGGGGGTAAGACCCAGCATGGGGATGGGGTTGTCCCTTGAACAGAACGGTAGCCTCAGCCGCTCCATCCCTGCCTAATTTAGGCAGCTCCTTTCTGAGTGGGTCCCTTCTTGGACTCTCCACGTTGCAGCTTGGTCCTTGGGGGCACGGGCACCTGCTCTGGGCACCAGATCCAGGCAGGCCCATGGGGTGGTGGCTTCCCTGGCAGCCCAGAGCTGGAGTGGAAAAGGGAACCCCAAAGCTTTGTAGGAAGATACTGCTAGAAGTTAGGGCCATCGTTGCCCCGTGGTACCGGGGGGAGCAGGCAGAGGCAGTGCCTGGTGTTTGCACCACTGGGGAGCGGGCTGCCAGCAGTGCCGCTGCGGTGGTGGATGCAGTGCTGGTCCCTTGGGGGTAGGTCACGCCTGGGCATGGCTGGCTGAAGCTGGGGGAGACACAGGGGGCTAGTGCAAGAAGTCTGCTCCCACCCGAGTTCACCAGCCCTGGGGGAAGGTACTGGGTGGCACGGCTCCCTCCAGGGGTACCCTAGGCCTGCCCTCTTGCCCCCCTTCCAGCCCCCTGCCAAAGCCCCTGCTTCAGCTGTCAAGCAGGTCCTTTTCTTTGCTGTCTGTCCTCAGGGTGGGCTGTGCCCCGTCCCTGAGCTGTGCATGTTTCAGTTGAGCCGCAGGTGCCCACCCTGTGGGCGCTGGCTCCATTGTGCGTCTCCGATAAGCTTATCTGGGGCTGGGGAGCCAGGCCCGGTGCTGGCGGGGCTGCGGCAGGCGCGGGTTGTGTAACGTGTTTGTGGTGCTGGGAAGGGCCCGGCCCGCGCAGGAGCTCTGGGCTCGCTGGGGGGCCTGGCCGCGCAGGAGCTCTGGGCTCGCTGGGCCATGCTCGCTGGCAGAGCCTGGCGGGGCCAGGCGCGGGTTGTGTAACGTAACG